ACTCTATTTAAAACATTAATAATTAGTATTATTTTTTTTATCAATAACTCATATATCCATTCATACATAGACGTATCCATGCATAAAATATGGCTGTATCAATGATACAGCCAACCAGGGTTTTTTTTGTTTTCAAGTTGTCTCACTTTCAGCGTGAATTGAAAGGAAATTTAACAAGAATAATATTACGGTAAAACAGAACAACATACCGATTACCAATATGAATATATGTATTTTATTAGGTAAGATGACGTACATTGGCGGGCATTATCGCTCGGTCATTTAAGAAAATTTTCGTTTGAGCATGTTTAAACGTTAAGCTGAAGCTAAAATGCTGCAATACAAACCAATGCATCGGCAGTGGAACTTTTGTCTGGCAAGTTAGATGGAATAGCTACTCAAGAGATTGTGGATGAAAAATCCCGAAGTGAGAGAGCAAGTTGTGCTACGATTACAGATGCTGATCAGGATAAATCTGTTATTGATGTACAACAAATATATGTACTAGATGATGTTGATACTGTTGTCCCGAATATAGCGGATCCAGCTACTTGGCCACTTATTCGAAATAGCAAAATAATTGATCATATAATAGTAGTGGCCCACTGCAAACTCACTGTCACAAAATTACAACAATTACACAAAGTTATACATAACAATTATGTGACACCCTGTTAGGGTGTTACAAGGGTAAAGAGTCTGGACCCAATTTCAATAATTAACCTGTTATTTTAACATCTTATATACTTTAAGTATTAGGGAATATGATAGCAAAAATTAATCTGTACTTACCTAATTATGTGATCCTAGTGATGTACCGTGCCCGGGCACACTCCCAAGGACTGGAAATTTTGTTGGAAGCATTGCCGGCAACGCTCCCAAAGTGGGAATTTACTGGGATTATTGGATAAATTTTTCGAGTTTTCAAAATATTTCATTTGAATTTGAATAACTTTATGGTTACCTGTGTACTGGATACGATAGTTGACATTTTTATATCATAATAACGAATATTCCCAGGATACTGGCAATGTTCCCGGCAAAATTCCCAGTAATATTTCCAGTTTATTGCCGGCAAAGTTCCCAAGAATCATCTAAACGATGGGTATCTGTTTAGTGTAGAATATCTTACGATATTAAATGCAAAGTATATATATCAAAATACGTATTAATATCAAAGGTAGACAATTAAAACAGTTTAAAAGAAAATTAATTATTTTTCAATATCCACATATGAAAATAATAACTTAAATAGCGTTTCCGTAAACAAAAATAAACAAACCAACTTTTTACCTATGTACCTATATACTAATATTGTAAAGATGTAAAGTCTCCAAGTTTATTTTTAAGGGCGAGGGGGGGGGGGGTTATCTTTGCACATTCTGATTCGAGCATTAAAATTCTTTCACCTACGAGAAGCTACACCGTATGTGGGTGACATAGGCTATAATTTCCACGGCCGATGTTGCAGGAACACAGTCAGTAATATATACATTTATACAGCGGTCTAATGAAATCATAAAACATTAATAATTTTCCTTTGATTTAAATTGTTATTAACTTAAATACTAGTCTAAATTACTTTTTCCTGTTCTTTCTGTTGTTACTTTGTATCTTTTACGAGTATGAATATGCGAGAATGTCGAAAATGACCTCTCAACCGAAGCTGACGTAGCAGGTACTGGTAAAATTTTAATTGCAATTTGATCCAATAATATATTTTCGAAAAAAGTCATCCACCACTATTTTGGATCGATTATATTAGCAGCTTGCCAAATAATATTTTTTGCATATACCCTATTTCGAAATTTATATTCTGATAGTTCCTTTATCAATTAACAGATTCATCGTTAGTAGTGGCCAAATTCATAATAGCATTACGCCTTCTAAATAATCTTCTTCTCTAAATTGGAACCATGAGATTTTGGATCAAACAGCTGCAAAATGCAAATTATTCTAAGCATTCTGTTTTCGTTCAAGAAACTTGCCTCGGAGTTATGGTAAATTATCTTCTACTACATCCATTGCGTTTCTGCTATTTAAAAGCTCCGCGATATCTAATAACGCTCCATAAACTAAATGAATCGTTCAGTAATCTCCCTCAAGCTTAGAGATCCAATGCACAATTGGCGTAAATAATCTGATATGTTTTTTAATCGTGGCCCATTTTGATTTATTTAAGATATTTTCTTATAGTTATCCAGTTCCCGAATGTCAGTGATCACCATAGTCGGAAGTATAAGCGTTTAAAAAAAATCCAAACAATGTAAATAACTTCCCCATCTATGTAGTTTTAACTGGTAATACTCAGATTTATTCTCAGAGTCTTTTGAATTCTGATTTTAAAATATGTGATTTTGAATTTTTTGGAGAATTGCAAGATTCTGGTGTTCTCTTTTAAAATTTTATCCATATCCTCTTTTTTGTCGACGGAGCATTGTTTACATGCGTTTACAAGATGATGCACAAATTTGGTTGCGTTCTTTAATGTAAAATTATCGCCACAAAAGCTACATTTATAAGATTACGCCCGATTTCGTAATAAACCGGAGCTGCAGTATTATGTTTGTTACAAAACGTTGAACACGTCGTTGAGCGCAGTGCTGTCATAGCATAGAATTCAGGCAAATAAAACTAAGCACAAAGGTAATAAAGTTTTATTTCATTTAATTTCTATGAGGTGACACCGCTGCGCTCGACGACGAGTTGAGGATGTTTTTAACATACAGATATTGTAGAAGGCGTTACGTATTGAAGTTAGAATCATAACGAGGCAGTGATTTAGTATGCTTATTCAACTATATAATACGACAAAAATTCCTGGGAACTTTCGGCAATATTCCCAATGTGCCCGGAAAATTTCCGGGCATATTGGGAGTGGAAAATTTCCGGCAGTGGCAAAATTCCCAGATGTACATCACTAGATCCCACAAAAATGAAACAGCTACTTATACACTATTATATGTCTACTTTATATTTATATTTATATGTCTACTTTTTAAATAAAACTAATGTCACTCTATAGTTTGAACAAGAGCATCGTAACGTAGCGTTAAACGTTTGATTACTGTGTTTGTTTGTTTTAAAATAATCGAATAATTGTTGTACGAGCGTCCACTTATGTCAAGCATGAAGATGATTGTTGATTGTGTTCTGCTTCATCAAAAATTAAAAGAGAGATCTCGGGAATCCCCGATTATAGAAAAACACATTGTTTCTGTATGGTCGGAAAGTCGGGGATTCCCGAGAAATTAAACCGATTGAACACTACGTTTCATTCTAATGCTGCCAACTTAACAATCTACCTAAATTTAGGGAAAATTACAAATAAGTAGGCCGGGTCGGCGAAAAAAAGACAAGTAACTGATTTGTAGTACCTATGTAGTAGTAATTGAATTGCAGTTAGGGGGCGCCGAAGAAATTTCGCTCAGGGCGCCAGTAGTGCTGAAACCGCACTAATGTAAACAAACAACTCACCGGAAATATTTACAGACATTTCGCAATGATCAAACGACTAAATGCAATCGAAACTGATTTGTTAACTTGCATTATCATATTTAACACCAATTTTAAACACACTTTTGAGAAATAAGCAGTATAATCACAGTTTTCACGAAAATAATACACTCTAAACTAACAAATGACGTACTACCGTGACGGGTTCGGTGCTTGGGTCAATTAATAAGGCTGATAAGCTTGAGCATAGATTTATTAATTGTAAAGGGGTAAATAAGAAACTGTAACAAACAAAAATAAATTTAAAAACAGTTCGTAAGCTGCTTAACTATAAATTTTAAATTATCAAATAAACGAATACATACCCCTTGTCGGGCTTCTAGTTAAACTCTTGGATCGTCCAAAATACAGATTACAATTTAGTTCATATGTTATATAATTTGTATCACAATATCACATTCTTTATCACAATCAATGAATTATTTTAAAATGATATAATAAAATTTATACCATTAATATTGTATAATAATTTTCATGTTGTGCATATAAGAATTTCTTACGAACTGACATCCATAAAGAGTATAATTGATTAGTCAAAATTTTAAATTACGAAAGACGAATAATAAAATGAAATAATGTTGAATTTAAAAAACAAAAAGTTTGCATACTGAAACCTAGGAAAACAAACGGTGGCATGGCACACCGTTACACTTCACTGGCAGTTCGAAAAAAATAAGAACTAGTGATGGACATATAAACGAGTGATTGTAAGAGCAACTCAGTCGGGAATATTGAAATAATTGATAAAAAAAATTGGTATTTTGTAGTAAATATATATCAAAATGTCTTTGGCGTAAAAAGAATACTAAATAAAATATTAAACTAATTTACATCTTGAGTGAAATACGTATAAAAAAAAAGTTTGAATGTAATAAACTCTCGCTTTAAATTAATATGTAGTATTTAATTAAGTAAACTTGTTCATTTGTCATGATAATATACGCATTTTTTAGTATTTATTATATAGTACAATAGTTCTACTACTCTGACAATAGTTATATTCATTTAAGACAAATTTTATGGAAAAAGTCAGTCACTGAATGACTGAATGAGATAGTTCAATTAATCAAATTCATAATGACATGTCCCATCTCTAAAACTGTCATGCCGCCATATTTGTTTACATCTTGTGCCACTTTAAATGAAACGGAGTATATCTTCAAAACGACTTTCAAGAATATGCTATTGAAGTCGGACGCCTATCATTTAATTAATAAACCTACATAAGACGTCCATCCGACTTCTATACTATATTCTTGAATAATTCGCTTTTATCACTTATTTAAATTTATCACTGCTATTTATCACTGTTTTAAAGATTGGAGTCAAATCTATTTTTTTTAATATTTATCTTTATTCACATAAAACGTACAAAAATAAGTTATTTACTCTATTATATTCATACAACAAGCATGCATTGAATTTGAATGGCTGTATAGGCCACATTCCTCGATCTACATTTTAAAAAAATATTTTAAAAATTCAAAAACGTAAACAATGCTATTTCCCCAATGATATTTCAATAAAAATCATTTCTAAGGCGCTATTTTAGTTGTTATTAAATTTACGTTGCTATTTGCCAGTTGACTGCCAATGTATTGAAGTGGTATTTAGAAGAAAATTTAAGAATCATCTACTCTCAATCGTATAACACCATACTAATGATATAAAATCATTAAAATAAACGAAATACATGTGTAATTTGAATTAAGTTTATTAGTATAAAATTAAGAGTACTTTTTAAGTTATTTCATATAACGCTTTGTAATTTTTTTTGAAATGGTTTCAACAAGAGGCCTTCGATATAAATTTAGTGAAGGAGAACGAGTGTTGTGCTATGAACCAGATCCTACAAAAGCTAAAGTTCTCTATGATTCTAAGGTAATTAACTACTCGTGTGCATGTTTTTTATAATATATTCGATATTATACTATTCAATATCTTTCAAATGTTTTTAAAAACAATATAAACATAACCTATAATTTTATTCCCTACAATTCTCCTTACTGTTTCACTCAATCCATTTGTTTAGAGAACTTTATGAAAATCTAGTAGGTTTGTCTTCATAATTATGTAGTTATTTAAGAATCTCATTTTAGGTATTAGAGGTTATTGAAAGTAAAGATAAGAGAGGACGTCGTACAGTTGAGTATCTTATACACTTCCAAGGTTGGAATTCGTCCTGGGACAGGTGTGTTAGTGAAGATTTTGTATTGAAAGATACTGAAGAAAACCGCCAGTTGCAAAGAGACCTTGCTGAAAAATCACAACTTCAGTTGTAAGTGTGCAATAATTTGGTCCATTAATCTTAAACACTGATTATGTGTAATTTAATTATGTTTTGTTGACAATAAAATTTTTCTTCATGAAAATATTTAAACAAATGATATTATTTATCTTAGAAATATATCTACATAATTTTATGATTTTTTTTAATAAAGTTCGAAATGGATTTTAATCATTATTAAAAACTTAAATCTAACCTATCATAAAAAATAAACTACTGAAATAATCGTCTACCAAATTATTATGGTATGTTAGTACAGTACTTCAGGATAAATAATGAGCATCAGCTAACTTCATGTTTCTGAAGAAAAATGACACATCTAGGCAGTATAATGATAAAGATTATAAAACTGTAGCACACATCCTTCCGCTTTCAATTGTATCTGCAACTGACAAATTAGTGACACTGGTACGCCATTAGTATAGTTTATTTAATTGCAATGAAGATTAAATTGCAAATTATTTTTATGGGCACTTTAATTTTACTTTAAATTTTCTTTGTCTTAACAGACATTTATCTAATGCCTATTATTTATCTTGAAGTACTGTAACTGTTACTTATATATTTACTTAGGGGTGCATATTTGTATCGTCGTGAACGCAAGAAGGGCAGCAGCACAAGCACAGGAACAGGGCCTGCAAAGAGAACCCGCCAAGGATTCAGTGATGATGGATCCTCCAGCAGCACTCAACCTGATGGTAATTTTTCTATATTTCAAGATGCACAAAATGAAAACAATAAGATTTAAAATAAATATTAGAATTGTTTGTATTCTCATTCTTAAAAGTAAAACCTATTCTCTGCCATAACACTCATATTTCCATTTCAGATGACAGATTTTATATAAGTGTGTAGTATTTTGTAATAAGTTATCAATAATTATAATATGCAATGTTCAATCTTATATAAAAGTAGATTGTAAGAATAATTAATCTAATTACATTTTGCACATCCCTCAACACATATACACACTGGCCGAAAAGCTTTATTTGTCATCTACAATTATTTATTTATTGCTCTCTGTGATAATACTGATAATATACTTATATATAACTTGTGAAGCAGTTATTAAACTGATATGTGTAGGCAGTGTGTATGTGACGACAGAGGGTGAGACTGGTGACACGGATTCGTCAGGCTCTGGCTCTGGCTCTGGGTCGAGCTCAACGCGGCGCTCACCACCGCCCAACGCGCACGTCGGACGCGCTCATATCGCCCTACCTTCAGCTCTTAGGTAAATCTTAATAATGATTTTTATATATTACATTTTTTCGCGAGTGGATACCATAAAAATCTTGCAAAAGGTTTTAAATCTGAAATGGATTTTAATGCGCAATGCTACTATCTCCAATTTTTATTGAATAATATATCTTAATTGGATATCCATATAATTATGAAGAATGACCACTCGCATAATACGCAAAAAGCTGGATAATTTAACAACTAAATGCTTTTTCATATTTTTCTAATTTGCAAATAATAGATATGTAAAACATTGTCAGGGATCGTCTCACGTTTGATTATCACTTGGTGGTAAAACGTGGTCGTCTGTCTCGTTTACCAGCGACGCCATGCGCTGCGGAAATTTTGGAGTCCTTCGTAAAATGGTTTGCTCGCGCCGGCGCGTGGCATCCCGCCCGCGCCCGACACGATCCACCACAGAGACCTGACCTCATGGACGTTTCTTGCCGGTAAATTAGGATTTCTTGAATAATATTATACTAGCAATCTTGTAGGTATAAAGCTGACATCGATGAATTCGTCTAACGAATCGCCGACATTTTATCACGACGTTACTTATCACTAAAATCTTTATGTATAGATTGAACTTGGTGCGAGAGGTAGCGGATGGTCTTCGCGTATACTTCGACTTCGTGTTACGTGGCCATCTGCTTTATAAACAGGAACTCGCACAGTACCACGATATCTGCGGACAGTTCTTAAGAGAGTTGGTATTCTATTTTATTTTATGTTTTCCTATCTACGCAAATAAAGTGAATATCGAGCACAATTGCAAATAATTTTAGTTGGAAAGATATAATGTATTTTGTGTTTCCATTATAAGATCTGTTACTGTATTGTAGCCTCCAAAGAATAAAATATTAATAAGAAATTAGTTGATTTTAAAGATATAAAAAAACTCTGTAAGCTTGTCATGAAAAATTTGGATTTATGTCAGTCAGGAGGTAGAAGCCAGCACAGAACTGGAAGAAAGAACAGGGTCGCAAGAAGAGACTCTAGAAGAAGACCTCAAAAGCCCAAAAATACCAGAATACTCACATCTCCCACCCGATCCCTGCGATATTGGCGACCGCGATGACACCACAGTGAATACTCGTAAGTACTACACTCACAGGCACAATTAACCGCCCACCTTTTATTTCTCTCAATTCACAGAAATCGCTAAACTAAGACCATACTAGTGGCCGCTAGCGACTTCGTCCGCGTTTTCTATTATTTCTTCGCTCCTAGTAATTGCAGCGTGATGTTATATAGTCTAAAACCTTCCTCGATAAATGGTTTATTCAACACAAAAAGAATTTTTCAAATCGAACCAGAAGTTCCTGAGATTAGCGCGTTCAATCAAACAAACAAACTCTTAAGCTTTATAATATTAGTATAGATTTTATAAAAGGAATGTTAAAAACTATACTTAAAGAATAAAACAAAAATATCGGAAAAAGTCTTAAAGGATGCTTAACAAAAATCGATATTTGAAAATCTTTAACGAAAATTTTAAAATTTTGGTTGTGAAAATAATGGGGCAATTAAAAGGAAAAATAAAAATTAATAGTGAGTCTTGCCATTTCTGGCCCTGGTGATATCTTGGAGCCGGTTTGTCAATCCATCCATGATGTCTTGAATATCCGATTGGGGGATATTATGCCACTCCTCTACTGCAGCCGTTTTTAGCTTTCCTATACTCGTGGTAGTACTCTTACGCGGACACGTCTTTTAAGGTTGTCCCACATCCCGTCCCGTCGGAAGAAGGGTCGGCTAGCTATTCTAGAACTTTTGGTAATGTCTTGAATACACTAATAGTGCCGAGGCCAACCTAGAATATTCTAGATCCTAACCTAGAACATTTTAGATGCTGGTAGAGTCTACCTCGGTCCCTATAAATACGGGGTGGGCCATCCGTCTCTGATTTGAACTGAATAATAGAGCGATCGAAAACGAATACAAGCGATATTAGTGAAGTGAAAACTATTCGGACAGTCGACAGCATGTCAAGTTACTACAAAAAACCACATTTTTTTAATCGATATTAAATCTTAATCTGTTCCTTTCGATGAAAATTGTAATTTGCATGTAATGTACATAAAGTAACTATTTCCTTGGTTTGCTATTTAAATTTGTGATATCTCTAGCGCCTCCGACGAACAGTGAAGAAGAACCGTCAAAGACAGAGACAGAGAAGGCAAAAGGAGAATCGCTGACCGAGGACGGCAGTCATTCCACCAACTCTAACCATTCCAAACCACGGGCACGACCCACGCTAGCCAGAAGGTATGGTCAGAGTTGTATGAAATCTAGATTATCATGACTGTTTTATTGAGGTTAACCGAATTAATCAAGAAAGTAAAGGGCACTGGTTATGAGTTTGACATAATCAGAAGCAATAATTATAATTTGTACCCATAACACAGGAAAATATCAAGTGTAACAAATTCTTAGTTCGTTAGTGAATTCGACTAGTCACTAACTGACGATCAAAGAGTAAAGTGCTGACGATAAAAGCTATTTAACTTTCATATAGGGTTATTGACAACTTTTCATAAATATTTTAACATGAAATATAATTCTTTTCCCAAATGAGGAAGTTTCATGATCTTGATTCAGAAAAGAAAATTAAAATTCGTTAATAAATGACTAAGTTATAGATTATTTAAAATTACAAATTAAGTAAAAGAGTTAGAAGGTATGTAGAGAATATCACTTATTAGTCTCTACTTATTGGGTGCTCTGGTGTTGTTTTTCAGTTACTAATGGAGATTCAATATTATTTTTTGTCTGTCGTTATTTTATCTTTCTATAAAAAATAAGAATAAGGAGAAAAATACTAAAATGTAAATATTTTCAAACCTTAAATAGGTCTACAATAGATAAAGACATTACTTTTAATATATATTAAACTTTTCTAGATACCATTCAGAATAAAAAACAGACAAGTGCGAGTCGGTCTTGCTCATCGATGGTTAAATGAAATATTAAATTTTAATACCTTAGAACCTATCCAAAATACTTTGTTTTCGTTGTGTTTGCATAGTTGTTGTATGAATGCCTATGTAATATTTGTTGTTTTTGTTAATATGCTATATCTCAGAAAGTGGCTATATCCCGTTAAAAAATGAGATACGGTTCGCCCGGTAGCTGTTTTTGTATGAACTGTTAACTTTCGTAATGGCATATTTACATTGGCCGATTTGGGCTCATACTCTGGCCGATAAACTCTTTCCGTTTCATTTAAACATTGATAAACCAATGACAGGCTATGATCTCCTACTGAAAATAAGCACAGAAATCGCCGCACCCCGCATGCTTTTTTTTTAGTGCCCTCCGTCAAGTAATAAACAAAACACGACTGTAAGATGCAAGCGATGCTCAAATACGAACTCTTAATACTATGACGAATTCGGTGCTTCTAGTTGGTGGGAAAATTAAACGACTGACTAGACTCGATAAGTGGGTATATTTATAGTCTAATTAAAAAAACTGTAACAAGAAACATAAAAGAATATAAAATCAGTTCGTATGAATTTCCTAAAATATGATTATCTAGAAGATTCGATGCAAGTTTATACACATACAAACTGTATGTGTATAAACTTGCATAATACAACTCGTAAATCACAGCATAGATTTTTAATGTACATACTAAAAATATTTTATTAATTTTCAATGATGATCATATTGTTGCCGAAAGAGTTTTATGCTCTTTCTGGAGCATATCTTTACTAAAAATTTCAAATTATGAAAAATTAATAATAAAAAATAAATGACGTTAAAGACAAAAAGTTTGGATACGAAAGTTAGGACAAAATAAACTACACACCGTTACAGTACTAATGAGCCGAAATTTTTCTAGCGAACGCAACTTCAAAATCCCATTCACTTTTATTTATGTAAATATTAAAGAAAATTTCTCTGTCATTTATGATTTTGCTTATTCTTTCATTTTAAATAGAAAAAAAATAGTAAACTTCTTCATTATACAAGATAGAAAAATTATAATTTTGATTTTCAATTCGGCGCCATAATGACCATGCATTATTTGCACTGTCCGCCATATTATGACGTCGATGGTTTGTAAACATATTTTAACATTAATAAAGCATTAATTAATCAACTATTGCATCTGTTCATGAGGTGGTGCTTGCAAATCGTTCCTAATTGAAGTTGAACGTGCACAAAGAGCAGTACTGAAGGTTTCACTTTCCTTACCTTATAGGCACCCTACGATTGATGTATACAATAAAATAGAAGTTTTAAGCGTGCGACAATCCTACATATTGAAATGTGTAACTCGCTATCACAAGACAACACCTTCTTTAAATGTAAACAAGAGAAATAATTTATTTAAATTACCATTAGTTAAGACTGTTTTTGCCAAACGTCACTATAATTTCCAAGGTCCTCGTCTTTATAATAAATTCATCAAGGCTGTCAAAATCCAAACAGATAACCCTTACATCATTAAAGCAGAAGTATTTAAATGGCTAAAAGATTTCGATTATCATGAATGTGAAAATCTAGTCTTGGTTTAGGAAAAGTTAGTTATAATACTAGGCACATTCATTTACAATGAAATCCAACGATATAGGTACTCACATATATACATTTTAACATACAAAATACACACACTCACACACGCACAACCACACACACACACACAGACACACACACATAAACACACACACGCACACACACATACACATACACACACACACACACACACACACACACACACACACACACCTGGTTCTAGCATGGTTAACCTAATAGAATAATTTGTAAATGTTAAAAGTCTTATTTATTTATTTTATCTCTCTCGTTCCTTTGGTATTTCATTTCTTAGTCTGCATAAGCCAAAATGTAATACTTAAGAGAGCACTGACTCCTGACATACAGGGCAACCTAATTTGGGAGACAGGGCAAATTGATTTGTTACGCTATGTAGTTACTCAATAAAGAATTATTATTATTATTATTATTATTATTATAAAGCGATCGTGAAATTAAAGGAAATACTATTAATAAAGCGTTTTTATTGTAGAATACAACTTTTTACACCTTACTTATTTATTCTTAATTCACCTTAAGGAGTTCTCAATTCAATTTCTTATTTTATATTAGTCACTGGCAATAACCCTATTAAGCATATTATTCATAGAAAGCTTCAATATGTAGTCTTAATTTCAAATAAACGCTACTCCTATAGGCTTCGTTCACACAAGTCGGCAGTGTCACAGTCTGAGAACGAAGAACCGGCGCCATCCACTTCTGGAGAACAACGTACATTCGAAACGCTGTCTTCAAGGTAAGTGAAAAAATCATACAACTGATTCAATGTAAATAAATGTTTGTGAACAATAAATGACAGGCACTCTAAATGCTGTTCAATTTCACGTGATTCAATTGCGTTTTATTTGTAAAATATTAACTTAAGAAGGAAAATATTCTGTTACTATAACTAGACTTTTAATGATATAAACTAGATACTTCTCACATCAAAATTAAAAGTAAAAAGTAAATTTTAATATTTATAATGGTGTGTATTGTACGTACAATTGACCGATTAAGGCGTCTAAAGTACGGTAAGTTGAAATTCTTCCTTATAATTAACCTACCATAGCTACAAAAACGTTTAATTGATTTTATCAATTTTATTTAACAAAATTTACATAAGTGGTTTTGGTTGTTGTAGTTTTCTGAATTATACTAACTATGACTAAATGAACAAAAGTTTAATTTAGACAGGCAAAGCTATTTCAACAATCAGCTACTAACTGGAACGAAAGAGAACTATAGAATAATAAGGGCCTGCTCATATTGTCATAGTGGGGACAAGATAGGAAGCCCGGTCAAATATAGTAAGGGCGGGCAATTTAAAAAAAAAAATCAATCAGCTACTTGACTGTTTTGGAAAAAGTATTTTCAAACATTCCTATGACCATATTAAACCATTATTGAAATGTGACGTCACACGATCATCGCCCGCGTTTTGGTTGTTTAAAAAAAAACTATTTTAAACTATTTTAAAACAGAAGAAACCACATAGTTATTGTTTAAATATATACATATTTTTATGAAAGTATATAAAAATATTCCTTGATAAAATCACTAAGTCGTTTTTAAAGTTATGACTTGTGTTATAACGAGGGTTAGGCGGCCACTCGCCTGACCTAGACTGATGATTATGATGACAGTGTGGGCAGTAGCGGGTCGTCACTAAGCGAGGCGTGGTCACGGCCTACGCGCGCCCCCACCGCCCCCGCCCCCGCACCCAACACGCCCGCACGCACGCCACTCTCGCAACTGCTAGATAAGGTACCATTTTCACTACTTTTTTTTTATAAATAAACGAGCTGACTCTACACATGTTGTCATGTCTTAATTATGAAATTTTGTAGCACGCATTCTGTCAATTCTATGTCAAACGTCTTAAGGTTACATTTAAAAAGTTTGTATTATCCAATTTAATGTGATGGTTAAATATTCTTAAATTATATATAAGTAACAACATATCTGCGATTAACAGTTACTGTTTGTGGAACTGCTGCTAGTAGGGCAAAAACACTCCCTACAAATTAATTCAGTGTTACATTTTTAGTATATGAAATATATATATAGCATGTTTTTGTTGTCATATATTTTCCTTGTGTTTCTAAAGTATATTATTTTCCATATAAGTGTAATAAAATATATTTTGCTACAATCAATTAAAATAGTGTCACTTGTCAACATCCCAATGTAGCAAGCAACTCTTTTGCACAATGCTAGACACATAGTATACGCTATAAAGTGTCCAAAAGTGCTTTTATTTAGACTACAATTTGTTTAAATCCAAATTTAGATAAAATAACTTAGCAAAAGTAAAAAATACTTACATTTGTGACCGTTGCGCTATAACATTAAAAACAAATTAAAAGTTGTTTTTTATTATGTTAATCTTGAAAAAATAATTTATCCATTTCGTAGGTGGCAAAATGGCAGATAATCCCGCATGAAGGCACCGAGCACCTGCCATGCCGCGTGTATGGAGCAATTCATTTGGCACGCCTATTCGGTAATGATAAGAACAAGTAAAAAGAAATATGATAATGAAATATTAAATAGTTCGGCAATTTAAACTTGCGGATGGTTGGTGAGAGGAACCTGGGAGATGCCCTGAAACGGGAAGGGGAGTTCCCTTCGCTCCGCGGTTGCGGCGCTGTCGTGGTCCTGGTTTCACACACTTACATGCATACAACACACACATTCACACAGTTATACATCCATCCACTACACAAGTGACTGAAAATCCTTATTCAACTTCGAGAGAGATAGCCGCCGAACTTTCTTTATCTCATGAATTGATCCGTACCATTTTAAATAATCATTTGGGTATGAATCATGTTGCCGCTCGACTAATCCCAAAAGACTTGAATTTTCTGCAAAAAATCACTCGTATGAGACTCACTGAGGACATGCTAGAACGAGTCGATTCCGACCCAACATTCATGAAAAGCATTGTTACTGGTGACGAGACGTAGGTTGACGAATTCGTCTTGCGAACTGGTTAATAAGCTTCGGAATGGCGTCTTCCAACTAAACGGAACCGAAATAACCACGCCAAAGTCGTTCAAAAGACAAAGTCATATTGACTGTTTTTTTTTTTAATGTCACGGTGTTGTGCACTCGGAATTCTTTACGGAAGGTCAAACGGTAAATAAGGAATATTATTTGAGCGTTATGCGGCGTTTAAGAAAACAAATTCGACGAAAAAGGCCTGATTTGTGTAAATAAAAAATCTTGGATTTGCATCACGATAATGCGCCTTCGTTGTGCGAAGTCGACATCATTGTGAACGAATTTTTGAGCAAACACTCAGCAAATACCATCGTGCAACCACCATATTCATCAGATATGGCTCCAGCCGACTTCTTTCTTTTTCCTAAACTCAAATTACCACTTCGTGGCACCCATTTTAAATCGGTAGAAGACATAAAGTAGACTTAGCGGCAAGAACTGAACTGAATTCCGGAAACAGCGTTTAAAAAATGTTTTGACTATTGGATTATTCGTTGGCGTTAGTGTATCGTTTCTGAAGGAGCATATTTTGAAGGTGATAAAATAAATTTCGATGAATAACAAATAGTTTGTGTATTATTGATCTTTTCCCGGTACTTTCTTAACAGAGTAATATTATACTCGTGCCTAAAACCGAAAGAAATACACATATAAGATAAATAGGCACATTTGATTAAAAAGCCAATATTTAATCTAATTTTATAGTAACATTTTTTTCTTGTTCTAGTGAAACTACCAGACTTCCTCAATGCTACGCAAATGCCGGATTTCAAATTAAAACTCATCTTGAAACACGTGGATATGTTTGTTCAGTGAGTATTTGTATTTTTTATTATAATATCATTATTTTATATTCGTAAATTTACAGTAAACTAGATACTTTTAACCTTTTTTTTTTTATTTCAACAACAACCAAAGAAACTTTCACATTTATAATATTAATAGGATAAACATTATCATAAAATTGTTTCTTTTTCAGATATCTGGATGAACACAACGAATGGTTCGGAGAGATGTACTATGTTGCAGATAATATGTCTAGATCGCATTAAGTTATATTTCCAGTTCATAAGTGCTCAACTAATGTAACAAAAATAAGACTTTAAAAAGGTTAACGTGCGATAACTGATACATCTATGTACTTACATATCAGATCCAAATCATAACACTTCTATTGACTCTGGTTAAAACTAGCTGTCCATTCCGTGTGTACAAGTATCGTGCATAACATCCAAACAGATTCTGCGTATTGTATTATGTGCCAATTGTATGTTTATTTAATTATATTTCTGACATTGATGTAAGAGAGATTAATTTTTATCATTGTAAAAGTTATTTTAAGCTATTAAATCATTTTACAAGCTTCGCCAATATTAAAAAATGTTGGCTACTTGTTTTAGGAAAAGAATTTAAAAACTTTCATATTATCATATTAAACCACTATCAGGTTGTTTGTCAAAAAGTATCAAACCTATCTTTTTATTCATTAATTTAAATTCTACCGCGAAAACACGTCATATTAGTCACGTGACTATTCAAGCCGCGACGATGCCCTGTTGTAACATTTCAATGAACATGGTTCTTCATGGTTGACTTTTCAAAAATATAACTGTCATGTAGCCAATTAGATTATTGGATGTTTAACAAGATGATGAATCACGTGACTCGCCAATATCATTGCAAGAGCGTACAATAACTCTGATTCACGATTGAATATTAATGCTCGTTTTTCTTTTGATTAATAAAAAAATTGTGGCAATTTACGTTGTACACACAGCAGCACGTCAGTCAAGTTACTATAAAGGGCCAATTTTCTCCATTTCAAATAGAGATGCCGCTAATACTCGTTTTATTAACAGAGTAACCGAAAATAGGGGATTATTTGTTATCTGTTGAATACCGGATAATATTGTACATTATTCGATATACTACGAGTCTAGTTAAAATTAAATGAACATAAAACTGCAGATAGAAGAAAATACTTTTATTCTTTAAAAACAAAACTTGCGCATTATAATATCGTTATTAGTAATTGATAAATTAGCAAATATCAGTCATGTTAAAGTTTTAGAAGAAAAACTAGTTTTTCAACATGATTAGGATATTCTGTTATCATTTTTTTGTAAATCAAACCTGCCTCAAAGTCGTTCTGGTTAAACGGGCTTGCTGTTATCGAATAATATCGAATAATAGTGGCAAGTAATCGATACTCGACTATTCACGGCATCTCTTAATTTTAAACTATCAACAGCTATTCAAAACTTACTTATCTGATCTAACGTAGTGTCGACTCTACAAGGATAGTTAAATCCTCATAGTTGTTTAAATTTTAAACATTTGCAGCTATTTCCTTGTTCTACAAATTATCTTCTCAATAGTCTTGTGATGAAATGGAATTTATAAAACACAATCCATTAAAGTGATCTCACTAGATTAGTATCTCTACCTAAATCTAAGAGATTATATGATTTTGTTACATTTTAGTATGTAAGTTGTCATTCTAACAAAGATGTTGAAAGATTAATCAAAGACGTATTTTAATTAGATAAAATAAATCTGCACTTGGTTAAATTAAAACCATTTTGTATACTTTTTTAAATAAAATGATATTTTATCAAAAAATATCTTTATTGTGGCATCCATTAAATTAAGAGAACAATTTACAAATTATATAAACAGTGAATCAGTATTTAGAAGTCATTTTTAAGATCTGCGATTTATTAAACCAACATAATCTTCGAAAGGCACTAGAACATACTTCATTGTAGTTTATTTCAATGAATATATATAGTAATCAATTAATGAATATTAATTATCTACACAATTAAAAAAAAAACAAAATTCGTTAACATCATGGACAATTTTATTCAATATAACATTTGTCACACCATTAATCAAAGTATTATTAAACATAGAACTGAACATTAAGTACCTACTAAAACTCATTTAGCAAATACAATCTCAAAATTTTCAATCAAGTAATATGCTGGACGTTTTCGGTTGAGTGAATGTGCTTTGGACGAACGCACAAAATAACAAAAGCCGACACACAAAAGTTTTTCTATAGTTTGTAAAATTCCAAGGGTAAAATTTATTCAATGATATAATTATAGTTTCAGGAAGAATGTCTAACATTTTCATATGGAACAAAAACTATCAATGTATACAATTTTGCCGAGGCATTTTACAAACTATGTTAATACACAGTAATCACTTTGGCTAATGTAACAAACTTAACAATACAATTTTTGAATCATAATGTTACATTGTTGAAGCGTTGCAAATAGAACATCTTCAAACGTCAGAAAGAATACAAAATGGAGGTAAAATTTTTCGCGACCAATTTGACTCGCCGTTTTAGGGCAATCTTTAGTATAACTTAACGGGAAAGGCGAACACAAAATAAGCAGGTGATAACAAAATAAAATCCTTTTCAAGGTCATTCAGATACCACGTTTGAAACTTCACGATGTTTATATGAATTGTATTTAATTGGGCTACAGCGCCAAAAGAAAAGTAAAAGAAAAGTGGTTTGTCCTAACATCATATAAAAAAAAAAGAAACTGTCTACCCTAGGATAAAGAAAGTTCGCCTTTCTCGTAAGTCGGAGCAGACTGATATATGTTGCGAATAGGACGCGTGTTAGAGCCACCGCATATAAAAAAAATTGTCGACCCTTAGTTTGGTTGGGATTTTAATCATTATGAAAGTAGCTAGGATATGAATCGTAATATTCGTGCGCTTGTATATATTTTCATTCTGATTGAGAGCCCGACTAAATCATTGTCCAATTAATTTTATAGTATTTTGGCTGTTAGTCGTGTTCCATACGGTGTATGACGCGCAGGTAGTCTTCCTCGAGCGTGCCGTACTGGGCGGAGAGTCGGCCCTGCGTTTCGTTCGCACCGCTGGTACTCACAGTCGCCGCATACTCCTCCGGTTTCAGCACTTTCTCGAGTTTCTTCATTTCTAGTTTCTTTTTCTGTTAACAAAAAGATTATAACGTAGAGATAGATACAATATTATCTAGACTAATATTTTAAAGAAAAAAAAATTTACTGTTTGTTCTTTGTTTAATAAGACGCGAAACTATTCGACGTTGTTCCACTAATTAACGCAGGCGAAGTCGCCGAAATACAGGTAGTATAATAAAACAAGAAAATTACAACAGTCTTAAAAACTCTTGTTGCTATGTGTTTAACAGTGACATAAGCTGAACCAGATGAGTCAGCCTGTAAGAAACTTGAGATGTTAAGATGGTCTGAGGACTGCTTATTTGTTGATTACCATCGCTCACCAGCACTTATTTACACTAACGTAGATAAATTAAGGTATGTGCAAAATAAATAAATGAAAATCAAAATTTAATAGAATGAGTATTTTCGGCTGGTGTGTCCCAAGCGAGTGTGCTAGAGAGCTCGCTATCACTCTGCCTATATCTCACGATTACTTTCTATATGTGCCTGCACTAAAATCATAATCCCACCAATAAGACCCAAATTTTGATACTATTCTTCAGTGGCGGAATAAGCCTCATTGGAATCCCAGATCGAGTAATTTTTAGCTTTATTATATTATTTTGGTGGATGGCTGCAGCCCATTGGCATCCAAATGCTCCCAGGACTACCACTGCTATTGTTACCTAGTGATGATCAAAACCGTACAGTGCGCTTTAAACCGCATGTACAAGTACTTTACACTCACCTGGAATGGTGCATTAAGTCGATTTTTAACATCGAGTCGGTATTTGAAATAGGCATTCTTATCTGATCTGTTTGTATTCTTCAATCTTAAAATTTCATATATTCTTCGTGCTTGCTTTTTGTTGATCTTGAACTTCTCACATGCCTGATTTGCCATTTCTGATGAAAAACTGTGCAAAAAAATAGTTACTACCTACTATAAAAGGACATCGCCGAAAATGGCCCCAATACCATTAAATATTAATACTTTAATAATAATTACTAATTTATTTATTAAATTGGAATCAAATATTTATTTGACACGGACAAGCTGCGATCCAAAATTAATATTTAAAAGTACTTTAACAGTAACATTTTTATTCGCAAATATTCACATTCAATAGACTTAAATTCTATTGAGTCAGATGGATGTAATTTACACGTCATTTACACGTTTTTATTAGATAACCTTTAAATCATCGAACATAAAACATTAAATTAAATTGACCGAAAATAAACTTAAATTTACTAAAAGCGCCATCTCTTGGTGATTTTCCAACTAAAACATAAGGACATTAAAACTGAATATTATACAAACTTAATTCATCAACTGTTGATAATTCACTCTTGTTTATTCAGAAATATCGATATTCATACGACATATCCTAAAAACTACTTTGTTTTTATTACATTACCTTTATATTTCTCGTAAACATATTAACATCATGTCATTTATGTATTTAAGGCGCCATCTTTTGATGTAAACCATCAAAAAGCTATAGGTTTTTTAAACTTAAGCTTATCAATAGGTATATTATTTAACTATTAGAATGATTTATGTCTATTGATTGATTTAGAAACTTTTACAAATCACAACGAAAAACCGACTCTCTTAAAGTTGAGTTTTTTTGCTTCTATATTCTATAATATTAATAGTTTTCTAATATAATATATAATAATAATAGTATTCTATAATATCATATCATGTACTTAGAGTGCCATCTCTTGGTGGTTTTCCAAACAAATTATAACCTCAAAATGAAAAGTTCTAAAACTCGGTCGCGGTATAATAAATACATAATGAGAATTAGTTAGTGACACACAATAAAATAAGTATATTCCTATATTTTTTTGGCTCTGGGGCCACCAATGTATGGACGTTGAGCAATGTCCTTTATATCCTCATTTATTTATTTTTTTATTTTCAAAAAGAAACTTGTGTGTAGTTCATTGTTTCAGTCTTACCCTTGAATGAGTTTTTCAGGCTGAAAAGCAGGTAAAGTTTGACAATTCTTTGCGTCAACATAGTCTCTTATCCTTTGGAAGTCTTGAGATGGATCTTCAACTGTTATATCTATCACATCAGGCAATATTGTGAAATGTGAGTAGATGGCCTGTAGAATAACACACAAATATTACACAAGGCGACTACTATTAAAAATGGGGTAGTTTATGTGTTACTTTTTTTCGACATCTTGTTAAGGTATCTTCACTGTTAGCCATTTTTTAAAACGTGCGGTTAGCGAAAATTTTATAGTTTTAAAGCCAAATTCAAGCACAATTCGTTAAAACCTTGTGCTTTCTAAATCTATATATGGAATAGAATTAGCAAATAAGTAAGTTACGCATAACAGACCGAACGCACTCACAACTGCTCCATCAAGCTCTTCTACTCTATCCAACCATGTTTTAAGAATTAATTGTATGGCGTAACATATGGAAGTTAAGCGACAATTTACGCTTGTCCTCGTGATGGATAATGGCCCAATCTCCTTATTCGATCTGATTCCATTCATAAAGAAGCCGCACCAGTGGGGACATTAATAGGGCGGTGACGAAATGAAAGTATACAAACCTGCAATAGACTGGCACATAGGCCGAGCTTGCGGAACGGCGGTAATGTGAGCACTTGTGAGATGCGCGGGCGCGAGTGACGCGGGTACGCGTAGTAGCGGTACACGGTCGCATACGCAGCCGTCGCGTAACAAGTATTGCCCTCGCTCGACTGGTACTTTTCGAAACTGGCAATAGATATTATAATTTATAAATATCAAATTATTCATTACAATATATTATTGTGATTCAATCACTGTTGATTATCAGCATTTTAAACAGGTTGATAGGAGGCCAACTAAGTGAATTTTCAACATTAGCTCAGTAGTATTTTGACAAAATAATAATTTAAAATAAATATATAGAAAAATAATGGTTTGTGAATTAATTGTACCATAAATTTTTATTATTGAATTTATACTCACACTGTAAAAAAAGTCCATTGGTCATCATCTACATCAATGAATGATGCAGCATCCACATACCAGAGTAAAAATGTTTGCAAACGTTCATGAAACTGCAAAAACCCAGGTGTTGATGTCTCACAGAAATACACTTCAAATGTTCTCTTTTCACCACCTTCCCCTAATATACATAAATACAAATAATTTGGTGACATTGTAAACTGAATTGTAGCATAATTATGTAAACTGTAAATATACAACAATACAGTAGGTATATTTACAGTTTTATTAGATATAAATAAATATTTATTTAGTGTTTTTAAATTGCTGGCTAAAGTAAAGATGAAGACAATTAAAGGCAAGCAATTTAATATGTTAAATAGAACTTTAATTATAATTATTTAGTCTATCTGTACACAATAATAGAGTAAAAATATTTTTTGAAGAGTAACTAAATTCTTTTTACTTTTTTCAATTTATAAATCAATTAAATTCAAGATTGCTACTCGTCATTTTCAATATAAAATATAGAAAGCATGACAGTAATATCTTACTAGAAGTGGTTGTGAAGGCATGCAGTAGACGGCCATTTGGAGTGAATGTCTTGTCTTTCTCAACCATGGATACAAATTGATCTAAATTGGTGACATAACCAGGAGCTAACACTTTTTTTAATGCACCCTCTACATCATCAGCTTTCATTCCATCGGAATTACTTGGTTCAACCTAAAACCAAAAGACCACTCTTAATATCAATAATGCAATAAACACACCACCAACCAAAAGAACAAATTCTAAATTTCAGTGATCAATTAATATTCTTAGTCACCAATGGTAGCTTTTTACTGAATCTAATTATTATTATGAATATTCATATTAAATATTTCAGAAGAACCCTTTTTAATAATTATTTTCAATGATGCATGTACATGCATGTATTATAATAATAATAATAATAAAGCCGTTTATTTCCAACTTGGTATCTTATTTTCTTTACAATCTAAATGTCGTTAGTAAGATTGTTAGTAGTATATCTATAGACTAGTTGTTAGTAGTGTTAGTCAAGTCAATCTTTAAGTTGGACCCCTCTTAGGGTGAAGGCCTCCTCCAGCTTGTCCCATTTTCCTCTGTCCTTTGCCTTGAGCAGCCAGTCTTTCCCTGCTGTTTCCACTATGTCATCCTTCCATCTCTTAAACGGTCTTCCTACATTTCTTTTCCCTGTGGGACCTCTCCACCTGGTTGCTATTAGTGTCCATCTTTTATCGTTGTAGCGTGCCACATGTCCAGCCCATTTCCATTTTAGTTTAAGGGCCATGGTAAGTGCATCCCGAACTCCAGTCCGCTCTCTTATGGTTTCGCTTCTTATTTTGTGTACTTTTTTTATTTTAAGAATGCTTCTTTCCGTGGCTCTTTGGGTGGTTCTTATTTTCCTTTTTATTTTGTCTGTGAGAGTCCACGTTTGGCAGCCATAGAGCAAGCTGGGCAGAATGCATGTATCAAGAACTATCTTTTTTAGGTTTATGTTATAGTTTCCTTTCAGGATTTCTTTCAGTGACCAGAATCTTCTCCATGTTATGCCTATTCTTCTCTCTACCTCTTCCACATTGTTCGACTTTGAAAATGACATTTGCTTCCCCAAGTATATGTATTGGTTGACATAGTCTATATTTTTTCCTTCTAACTTAATTGGTACTTGGTGGCTGTTGGTCATGATTTTTGTTTTTGAGGCGTTCATATGTAGGCCAACCTTTGTACTTTCATTGTTTAATTGTTGTATAAGCTCCTCAAGTTCTTTGGCAGTTTCGGCCATTAGGACTATGTCATCCGCAAAACGCAAATGATTGAGCTTACAGCCTTCTAGGCTTATGCCCTTTTTTTCCCAGTTAAGATTACGGAATATGCATTCTAGGACAGCAATAAAGATTTTGGGTGATAGGGGATCTCCTTGTCGGACCCCTCTCTCGATTTTTATTTCGTCGCCTTTTGTTTCAAGTTTTATTCGACTCGTACTTTTTACGTATATGTTTTTTAAGATGTTGATGTATTTTTGTTCGACATTTAGCTGTGATAGGGCGTTCCATATTGCGCTGTGGCTGATGCTGTCAAATGCCTTGCTGTAGTCGATGAAGGCGACATATAGGTTTCTGCTGAATTCTTTATATTTTTCCATGATTTGGTCCAATGTTTGAATGTGGTCGGTTGTGCTGAAACCTGCCCTGAATCCTGCCTGCTCCTTCGGTTGTGATTCATCTATTGTTTTAGCTATTCTATTTAATAGTATTGAAGAAAAGAGTTTGTAGATGCAGAGTTTGCACATGCATGTATTGGAAGGATTATTTGTGATCCTATATTTATAAGAGCAAAAGGAAACACAAATAACTTTCTTTACATGTTGCAAATTAATGCCAGATGCTGATGTTTGAGCACATATGTGTAATAAGTCATATAATTTCATACAGGGAATTCTAAAACTCCTGTCTTTTGATACATTTAGCAAATTTATTCTGATAGATATGCCTTACCTAAATTAATACAAATATAAATGTAAATGGATATACACATCTACATAACCTACCTTATCAGCATATTCAATTCCTAAATATGTTTGTAAACTGCCTGCACTGTAATAAAGGCGGATCCGTAGGTCAGTGTACCCAAATATATTCTCATTTTCCCCAAACACCTGATGACACATTTCTGGGGCAAAACTAGTTGAATCATTTTCCAAATCCGCAGGCTCTCTTACTGTAACATAATTTTGATTACATCAGTAGACTATGTCTATTAACATTTGAAAGTAATATGAGAACAATTATACATAAATATAAGATATCTGTCTTCTTTAAATTATCTTTTAGGTATGTAAATTATAGCATATCAATTACTTGCTATTTACCCAAGACTTCACCCCCCTACATTATAGTTTATGTCACCTGCATTCACCCACAAATATTTTTTTAATTTGGTCCAGCAGTTTCAGAAACTACTCAATGCAAGCAAACAAATCTTCTTTGTAATATTAGTACAGATATTCAAATTGGTATTATAAGTTGTAAATGTTAAGACTGACTAACAGTCTAATAAGTGAAATATTAAATGGAAATAAAATTAAAAAGTTACAACAATCCGACATTGAATAATTATGAGTTTAATAAATGTTACTTTCCTGGACTTTCTAAAATACGTATTCAAGTAATAGCCAATAACATAATATAAAATCTTTGCCAGAACAACATGATTGTAAGATGAAATTTGATTTATCTCTTGATAAATACAGTGACAGTTGTGACAAAGCTGCAAAACCCGAGTGTTCTTTTGGCATTGGGATAAATTTGTCTCAACACAAACCTAGTTTAAATTCCAGGACATCGTTTCCGTCGACGACCAAGTGGCAAAGTGTATCAGTCATTTTTAATAAATTTGTGCAAGCAACAGTGTAACGTTCATCACATGAAAATCTTATATTCCCGCGCAAATATGTCAGCTGTAAAGAAAGTAAGTATAAATTGGACGAAAATTCTTAATAATTTGACAAACTATATAAATTTTAATGAACTCACTCTAATGCCTTTCCTTCGCCTTTTTAGAATTTACAGATTATTTATTGTGTACCTACAAAAACAATTAATAATCCGTTTAGAAAATAAACGTACGTTTTAAGCATTTGACATTGACATGACGAAAAAAACGCAAACCAAGAAAATACCTACTCATAGTCTGAGGCGCCTATTACACTACCCAATCTATCGGGCACGATATATCGGCCGCGATTTAGGGCGGTTGGTGTCGTTGTGATTACACTGCACTAGATCGCCTCCCTAACTCAGTTGTATATATGTTGTCAGTATCTCTTATTCGTCTGTGCTCAGTTGGCATGCAAACGTGGCGTTGAAAGGATGGCTCCTTCGCTCACAAAGTACCAAAAAATTGGCATAGCCCATACTTTAACTGCGGGCGTAAATAATAAAACAAAATGTTGGGTGAAAAATATTTGCTTCTAAATGACCAACTATGCAGTTTGAACTACTACAGAATGAGTTCTGCACAATTTGAATATATATTAAACTTAGTCATACCTTATATAGCGCAAAACAGCGGTTAGCTGTGCTGTAACCTTAAAATTTTTAGCAACTTTAGTTTATTGTTTTCATAGGTAATTTAAAATAATATTACATAATTAAGTTAGTCTCACTATGGACCCTATCGGGCACAACAATAATATAAAGTTTATTATAGCATTAGTTTTTATTACTGTAATTTATATAAAATTTATAATTGTACCAGACACATGCAAAGGCTATCTAGAAATGTTTAAAACATTATATCATATTGATATATATATATATATATAAGAAAAAGTAATAATATTAAATTACACTTAATATTATTTCTTTTCCTTTTGAGAAGACATTTTTGTCTGTTCGCAAATTTCGTTGTCGTTCACTGACGTCTCACACGCACGCTGCGCAACAACCGACTGAGCGCTCTAAGACCCTAAAAGCGATCACATTACCCGATAAATCGGCCCTAACTCTCATCGGGCGATCGGGCGCCCACGTTCACCCGATATCGGGACCCTAACTCTCTAACTGCGACTAGACTACCCAATTTACAGTGTACCCGATGGGTCGTGCCCGATAGATTGGGTAGTGTAATAGGCGCCTGAGTTTTGGGCTGAGTGAGATACATACTTAGAGTAGGTTACTCTACGGAACAAATGTTCTAGATATAAGTTGGGTCATTATAATATGTCACATTTGACACTTCAAAAGAAAGATAAAACGTTAATTTAATAAATAAAATAAACGACAAAACAAATTGACGTTTTCTCTGGTTTCCCTTCAAAACGCATAAAACAAATTGACGTAATAAATTATTATGACGTAATTTGTTAAAAAGATCAACTACGTAACGTTTCAAAAACAGTAACGTCCTTGATCCTTTTTCTCTTAAAAATAGTGTGGCCAAATTCATCGCCTTATAATCGAATTATAAAAAAAACATAAACTTGTAATCTACTACATAACGTTTCAAAAACAGTTACGTCTTTGATCCTTTTTTTGTCTTAATCTTCTCCTTCACAAATTATTCGTTTTATTGTAGTAGTCGACACACCAACGAATATTAAGGTAATAATTGTTTAAAAAAATGAAGTATCAAAACTCGCCTGGGCCATTAATTTCATTGATCTTTAGCTTCTATACACATCAAAAACAATATTTCTTGCTTGAGATATCAATGGTTTCTTGGGGCATTTTTACAAAATAAATTAATATTTTCACAGATATTCACAATAGTTTACACTTTCTAAGATATACGCTTTCACTTAACAATTACAACACTAGACAATATACATTGCCATTTTAAAAATCGTTCTTTTGTTTTTTAACATGAGATTCTAGTATTTATGTGCACTTTGTGTATACATCAAAGTAATAACCAGAGGTCGGAATTAGGTAGAGTTATTTATGTACTTGCATCGAAATGTTGATATTAATGTGGACCTTCCCGGGATTTCTTTATTTCTTCTTTCTTTATTTCTTTCTTTCATTGATGTAAGTTTGGCAACGTCGTGCGTGCAGTAGTTTAAATTGTGTAAAAGTAAATAACTTTTTATTAAAAAAATCACGGGATTTATTCTGCTCTTTAAAATTAATATCGGGGTTTGAGGCATATCCACTTTATTCTTTCGCTGTATGAAATCAGTGTAAGTACATGAATAACTCTACCTAATTCCGACCACTGGTAATAACCCATAAAAGTTGTGTTGCTGGCCAGACTTGTTGCGATGTTTAGCAAAACGTGAGCAGTTGTGTTGTGTTAAATAATGAAGTGTTGAAAAGTTGTTGATATTGAATTTTTCAAGCTTCTTCAACAGAATCTGCAATATGGAATCCGAAAATTCATGCAAGTGACATATGATTTCGAAGAATAAATAATTTTTTCCGTATGTTTTCGGTGTCCGTTCTGTCAGCTTTGCAACAAATGTAATCAACCACAAATTATTTCAATGCAAATCTAGCAGATACCACAATATTTTTTTTTTTGGACTGTACTCTTGATGATATGTCTGGTACCGATATTCTTACAAATGGTTACAGGGACGCAGCGACATCTAGTTAGATTTCGAGAGCTATTTTACTACCTCATTTACATATGTTTCAAGAAGACTATGAGCACTACGTTTGTGCGTTCATTTTTTTTATTATAGCAACACATATTTATGTGACGTCATTATGGCCTGGTTGGGTTAGGTTTGCTTGGAAATTTTTGTAAAAAGTCTTGTAGTTTAGTGTATTATATGTTGTGCTACTTATTTTAGAATAGTCTTAAAAATACCTCATACAGTAGCAGTAATACTGGTGCCAAGGATTGTTTGTTTCGGCTACAATCTCTGGCGAAAATGAATCGCCATGAAGGTGGGTAATGATAATCAAAATTTGTTCAATGCTATTGTCACCTACATTTCTTTTCGAAAACAGTCACAACTTATGTGACATTACTTTATTTTGATATGCGAAACTGTTTTAAAATATAATTTTATTATTAATGGCAATGTTTCACAAAACCTATTGACATAATTTCAGGAGTCAGCTGCGATTCTTGTTTAAAAAATAACTTCAGGGGACGACGATACAAATGTTTGATATGCATCGATTATGACCTGTGCGCTGCCTGTTATGAGTCTGGCGCTACCACAAATCAACATACAAATCAGCATCCTATGCAATGTATTCTTTCCAGAAGTGACTTTGGTGAGATTATTTTGACATCAATCATATTTGTCCAAATTTAGCTAATGCACGCCTAGTACTCAATTATTTGTGCAATAAGATTTACGATAAGATCATTACAAGTATATTATCCAGGTACTTAAATCCTTATCACCATAAACTTGCATCTAAAATTCCAATAAGAATAAAATGAATAAAAAATATCTTAGATCCAAGTGTTAAAAATCTACACTGGGCTGTTGAACAGTTAAATTTTTATTGTTCCTTTCACAGCTAACTTCAAGTTAGTCAGAAAAAAAGCTATAAAGACAATAAATAGCACTGCTTCATTAATTGCCAGATTATATGCAATAAAAATATAATGAAAACGAATTATTTTCATTATATGTTTATCAGTTTGCTTTGGTACAATTAATAATAATATTTGTTTATATAGTGTTTTTTGTTAAATACACAACTTTTTATTCCATTGTTATTAAAAAGTATGTAAATAACTTTTACAGATTTATACTATGGGGGAGAAGCATTGGCTCTTGAGCAGCCTCAAGCATTCACTTGCCCATATTGTAATCGCATGGGGTTTACAGACACAGCTCTTATGGAACATGTTACTGCAGAACATGCTGACACAACTTTGGCTGTAAGTAATCTTAAATAAATTAAATTTTCTTTCAAAACCATTCACCAAAAGATATTTCAACACCTTTACTATGTTGTATGTTAAATTTAATTAATCAATTTTGGACTCTATTTTTTGGATATTAACTGATATACTGTTAACTGTATACTGCTTTAAAATTTAAGTATGACCACACTACTTTTATTTTCACAATAAATTAACAAATGCAAAGCAATAATAATAATAATTCTTTATTTGCTATAAATAGGGTAGATTACAATGAAGTGGATAGTTGTCTTAAATAACATACTTAGCAACATAGATCACACCATTATTATATTTGATTAATATATCTACTGATATTTATTTTGTAGAAAAATTCTTGGAAAATTATTAGTTCATATGAGTTAACTTAAAAATAAACAAAATTAAGATATCACATTTTATATATCTAACTATGCATTATTAGTTGTTTGATAGTGTTGGCAGCAATTCTGTTTCAAATAAGATCTAATAAAGGTTTTGTCCTGTCAGTCTGCGTTTTCAATTGTGATAATACCTAAATCAACAGAAGTGAACTTAATTATATGGAAGTATAATTATATTTGATTATATGCATTAGGAATCAATTTAAAACAAATCCAAATTTAATTTTGATTTTTTAATTCAGTTTAAGAGTGCAGAATTGGCTCAAGTTTGGCAGAACATATGACATTATAGTAGTTCCAACTAAGCTAGACCCAATTTTTCTATTCATGATTTTTCAGTGGTCAAATAAATTAAGTTAATGATCAATATTAAAATGATGACAATATTTTTTGAGTCCGAAAAATTTTTATATGAATAGAATTGATGTAATGTTTAATTCATAGCCCCAAAATACAATATTGAATTGCTCTTGTTTTCATGTTTCAGGTGGTATGTCCCCTATGTGCATCAATGCCTGGTGGAGAACCAAATTTTGTCACTGATGACTTTGCTGGTCATCTCACACTTGAACACAGGACTGGACCTAGAGATCTCATCTCATTTTTGATATCCTTTTCTAATAAGACATATTATCATATATTGATCCTGATCATCAATAGTTTGAATAATTGATACTTAAATGTTTAAAAATTAAATAAAGGCTAGACTATAGATAAATCAAAATTAGTGTGCATAGAATGGCTTACTAACATTTTGTTTAATGAACAGTGTTGTTAAATTTCATAATAAAATTTAAGTTTCAAAGGACATCAACCAGGTTCCATACAATTTTGGTCCATAAATGAAAATGACAGCCCATAAAAAATTGGGTTTTTCTGATACTATATGTCGGCCTAATAATTTTTTATTAAGGCATCGACGCTATATCATCATTGTATTTGATTTTATTTAAGCTCAAAAATATATTTATTGAATTTTTCATATATAGGGTTTCGAGCCTTGTTCATTATATGGTGCACTTTTTGCATAGTTTTTCGTCCCAGGAGCCGATATATTTGACAGAGCGTAGCTGCCGAGCTTTAAAGCGTAGTTGTATATCAGAAATAGTACATACTGCCTTAAATCAACATTTTTTTTATGTATGTTTAGTGTGGTCAAATAATCAAATCATCATCATCTGGCATAACAATAATAACGGGTTTACACTTTGCTAATGCCGAATATAGCTCTTAAAACCATATTATATGGGAACAACACCCAATTTTTCTTTTTCCAATAATGCATGTACAATAGTAGTGGGCGATCGCTCGTCTTCCCGACATAGATTTATCCATTACAATACATGTATAATATTGTCTCGCCCTGACATGCCGGGTTTGCAATCGTCCACGTATTAGCCATAGGTTGTTTCCCTGCTCCTGCAATTCTCTCCTGTAATCATTGCTTAGTTCTATTCTGAAGGAATCAGTTGTCAAGAATGTGTTTGCTGTAATAGATCTTTGCCTGTTTCAATTGGTATACGCCGAGAACGAATAAAAACAAGTCTAACTTATTCATTTTTGGAAATTCTGAGAACTCCGCATTGTCAGCTGTCATCACCCTGAATTGAGCACATCTGCGGTTAAAATTTTGCTGCTCCACAAGTTTTGCTAATCTATTTGTCATATTTATTCTTTCATGAATAATTGTTAAAATGTCTTGCATGCGGATTGTCCTCAATAAAAGCATGAAAACGATTTAATGTGGCTGCTGCAGTCCTAAAATAATCGAACATGCTTCTTAGGGCTCTATTATTATATACATTACGCAGCAACCGAAAATCTCTTTTAATTCGTCTGTTGACAACTTCAACTACCCTATATGCCCATAGTAATCAATCTTGATTTGTTTGCCTGATCTGTGGTTAATTGTATAAGGCTTGGTAAGCTCGTCAGAAATTCCTCAAACTGATTTTGAATTAAAACTTTATGTTATGTTAAGTTTTTAGCTTCAGCATGAATGGGCCGGCTCGACCGGAGTGATACCACGGCCTCACAGAAAACCGACGTGAAGCAACGCTTGCGTTGTGTTTCGTCGTGTGAGTGAGGGTACCGGAGGCCCAACCCCTCCCTATTCCCTCTACCCCTCAACCCTTCCCTCCAAGGCCGGCAGCGCGCTTGTAGCCCCTCCGGTGTTGCAGGTGTCCATGGGCGACGGTAATCACTTACCATCACGTGATCCGTCTGTTCATCTGCCCCCTAACCCATAAAAAAAAAATTTAAGAAATTCGAAAATGTGTGAAGGAAGGGATTTTTGAAGTCAAATAAAATCAAGTACAATTATGATACAGCTTTGGTGCCTTAATAACAAATGTTAAGGGAGACCGCTAGAATCAGAATTACTAACTTTTTTCGGCCACCATTTTCATTTTTGGACCAAAATGGATGATGTCCTTTATTTTTGTGTGTCCTGTGTTTACAAATACGTCTGAGTTTTAACCGATTTCAAAATAAAGAGGTTATCAGTTTGATTTATGTGTATGTTGTCCACAATTATCTTACGATTGGCTCAACCGATTTTGATGTGGTTTTTAGTAAAATATTGGTTTAATATATCCAAATATTTCATAGCATAAATAAAATATTTTATAGCATAAATTAAATATTTGGATATATTTCATAAATAAATAATAATAAAAGATTTTTTAATGAAATTATATTCTAATATATAATTATTTTTAAATAAATATATTTAAACAGTAAGTCTAAAAAAAAGTTTGTTTGTCACAAGTCCCTTGAGTTTGTCCTGCTATGGAGGCTGGGCATACAACAACAGAGAGTTATAAATACGAGTCCATTCTTTTATGAATCGTGACTTTCTCCTACAACAACGTTTCCTCTTTTTTCAAACTTTTCCAATCATTATTAGCTGCAGGATCCCATATATGTCAATAACTTCTATAAAAGCTTGTATTTTTAGATTAAACCTTTAATAGCTTTCCTTAACTACCTTGCACGACGAGCCCAGTGGTATCAGACACGGCGGAGTTCGTCGTATGCCACAGTCAGGACGAGGTGTAAGTCGCGCGAGACGCACCAATATGCAGTTTAGGTATGTTAACTTTACGTAGCAGAAGTATAAAAAATAATCTTATAAAGAAAATATGTAACGAACCTTTGTATATTGCCTTTAGAGTTCTAAAGAATTGTGATATGGTTAATGAAACTATGTAATGAAACTTATGCAATCAAATTATTGACCTTGTAACAGAGAATGTTGCACTAGGAACATTAATTCATTTGCTAATAAAACATTATAACTATTATTTCATTATTATTATACATATAATAAATCATATTTAAAAAATTAAATTTTAATTTTAATATGAATGTTACAACATCACATATTTTTCAAATAAATTTAAAATCTAAGAAAAGGAAAAAATGAGGAATCAGAAAATAATTTCTAAAATTTAAGAAAATGAGGATTCCTTCAAAGGCATAGTGACAAATTCTTTAAGTGTATAGAAAGGCATTTTTTCAAAGAACATTTTAATCTTTCTTTTAAATTAATTATTATGTAAATTTGTTATTGATATTGGTAATTTATTTAAAAAATGTAACTTATTATATTTTCCTTGCTTTTGTATTTTGGTTTTTGAGATTCATATTATACTAATAAGCATTTATACGATTACATGTATGTAAATTATCGCACTGCCCTCATATGTATATAAGGGGTTGTACAAAAGAAAAACGTATTTTTTTTTTAAAGTGGCGATTTGTTTCTCAGCATAGTTTCCTTTAAGGTCGATATTCTTAACCCAGCGATGCTCCAACTTCTTAACCAATCTGAAAAATATGTTTTTCGAGGTCTACAAAGTAGGTTTATGTGGTGCCGATGACCTCAGCCAACTCAAATTTTTGCCTGGCGAGTGCCTTTTTCATGCAAGTGAGTTTGGAAACAAAAAGAAATCGCACGGGGTCAAATCGGGAGAATACGGTGGAAGAGATAACAGTACATAGCCCAATTCGATCAATTTAGCCGTGGTGAAGGTGAAGGTGCATTTTTATGGTGAAAGAGCACTTTTTCCTCCCACATTTGGGGTCTTTTCTGGAATTCTTTGTCGGCCCGATAATGCGGCTTAGTGGAGCCATGTGACCGTTTTGCCCTTATCCAGGTGGATATCACACCTTGTGAATCCCAGAAAACTGGGGCCATCACCTTTCCGGCCGATTGAACAGTCTTCACTGTCTTGGGAGCGCTTTCGCCGGATGAATTTCACTGTTTCGACTATTCCTTGGTCTGTTCATCGACGGTCACGAAATGATGCAGAAATTCCTTCGGATTGCATTTAAACAGCGTCAAACACTGCTCTGAAGTGATCTCACGGTTGCGCTTGTTGTCCGGAATGAGCAAACGCGGCACCCATTGCGCCGACAGCTTACTCTTGGCCGAAGTTTCATATAAGACGGTCTTTTGAAATGCCTACTGGCTCAGCAATCTCTATTGACGGTCTGCCAACACGAGATCATGGTTTTTTGTCATGTTATCCTCCGTAGTAGCCGTTTTAGGAACACCTGGGCGTGGCTCATCAAAAATCGACATGTGAACACGTTTAATCTCGTTAAACGAATTTTTGACAGTGGTCATCGAAGGAGCAGACTCACCGTACACAATATCCAAGCGTTCTTTGATTTCGCTGCGCAATTTTTCGCTTTCAAAAACTAGACTATAATCAGCGACCGATATTGCTCTTTTTAAATTTTCTAAAATCCGTGTCAATACGTCTGTTTTCACACTTGGTTAAAACAAAATCACGAGTCCAATTTGATTGAAATTTTGTCTAAAATAATGTTTTATACGACAATAAATTTCTCATGTGATGGTGTCGCCATCCGGCGGTAAATACTAATACTAAAGGCTAAATACTTATCGGACCGCCCTTGTATTTCAGGCGATATTGGCTTACATATATACTTATAACAACAGCAGCAGAAGCCGTAAGCTTATAGGTTAGTGATTCCTCTCACATAGGCTTAGTTAAAAGTACAATATCGTTATCTGTTATTAACCCTCCTTTCTTGTGATATACGTATATAATGTATTTAAACGAGTACGTGTAATGTGTGTTCAGTACTGGCGGCGCTATATCTTCGTTGTCACCGTCATCACGTGACGCGGTGGTGGACCCCATAGCGGAGCTGTTGTCGCAGCTGTCGGGTGTGAGGCGCGGCGTCGGGCAGCCCGGCACACCCAGCCAGCTGCAGCAGCTGCAGATGCAACTGCAACTAGAGCGGCAGCAGGCCACGGTATCATATCACATATCCATTTACTGCAGTATATATGCTGTTTTATTGTAGTGGAAATACGGGTGTAGACAGCAAACGAAAATAAATACATACTGTTTCTTTTCTGGTAATGTTTAATATACTATTTCCGATAATCACACTTATGGTTATTATATTTATAATATTGTCTAAATTAATCATTAAAAAAAAACATTTTATACTCGTCACGTGACCGCAAACAACGCGTGACGTGACGTCATGCCTCTCTTACTCATATCAGAACTTATAGAATTAAACCTTATGCATACATAGAACGTTATTAGTTTGAGAGGGGCGTGACGTCATAGCGTTGACATGACAGAAGATGGTCGCTGGAAATTGTAAATTCAATTTACTTTTAGATTTTAACTTATTTTATATAAATGATACTTTTTGTGTATATTTTTTCAGATATGTATATATAATGAATATTACTCTATTGATAAATGTGTGAGTTATCAAGATTACGGAGAACTTTTACAATAATCGTAATGATTTGCGAGTAATTAATTTAAAATGGTTATTGACGCCCAATTCACCACCTGTCCTTGTCTATCTCATTGCCGGTCATAAAGTCCCTCTGTCTTTACACCCGGTCTAATAATATCTAATGGTCGTTATGAACGCCCGATGCAGGCGGCTCGGCAACAGTTAGAGCGGTTGCCGCGTCGGGCGGCAGCGTCGTCGAGCGGCGCGGGCGCGGGTGCGGGCGCTGCGCCACAACCGCAACCGCAGCCCGCGACGCAACCGCAGCCGCAGGCGGACGCGGCCGACTCACAGTTCCTGCTCTCCGGTTTCCTGGGTCAGTAAAGAAACCGGCCTTGAATGTTTCACTTAAAATTTTCTTTTATATAAATGCCAGGCACTGAAATAAAATAAGGTTGGTTCCAGCGCACACAACTTTAGTAAAACAGCACATCGGAAATCTATTTTTTATTATGAAATTTTTTATAAATATGTCTTTTAAGTTGTTTTCTTTTAAACTGACTTTAAAGTTGATTTCTAAACTGACAGCCACCTTTTTGAAGTTGTTTAAAACGAAGGTCATCAATTTTAACTCATTTAATAAGTCGGTTAATTTATTGCTCCTTTCATAAGTAGCTTAAGACCCTTATTTATTGTATTGTATAAATGTGGTCCTGAAAAGGCAAACGATTTTTGAGCGAATGCTGTTCAAAAACTACGAAGTTTTTTGCACGCCTTTTGACTTTTTGTTAACGTATGGAGATCATAGATAGTGTCTCACAGTTAAAACTTCGCAATTTTAATAAAGAAGTGACGTCGGATAGTAGAAATATGGCATATGTTAATTATACGACAAAAGAGGTCGGACCGGCTATGCCCTTCGCTTCCCTTGTAAGGGAAAATAATAAAAAGTATATAACATCGCATTGTTCAGGCGCGACAAACAGTAGAGCCGGTGCGGAAGCGGAGTCGCGCGCTGCGCTCCTGCGCGGCTTGATGCTGGCGTCGCTGGGGCGGCCGCCGCCCGCCGCGCGCGCGCCCCCGCCCGCGCCCCGCGCCGCGCCCCCCGCGCCCCGCGCCGCGCCCGCCCCGCCCCCGCCCGCGCCCGCCCTGCCCGCGCTGCTGCGCGTCAAACCGCAACCACGCACCAAGGTACCGCACCACCGATGGCTACTTGACTAATTTGCGAATATTACTTTAAAACATTTATAATCAGGCTTTTATGCTCGATTTTGTAACAATAAGTGCAATATATATGAATAAACAAATACTCCAAATTCAAAATAACCATTATATAATAAATAATCCATGTAATTATTGCAATACAGTGGCAGACGCCCACTTCCGGTGAGAACTAGAATAACTTCTTGCCTAAACTCTATCTCCTAAAACGAAATATCTTATGGGCCTATCGTTGGATTGAGATTCAGTGGTATTATGTATCTTTTTAAACATTAAGTGTAATTTTGTCCTGATATCTCTGTCGAACATTAATTGATAAGGTGTTTGTCTACTGGGGCCCGGAGTGCGCCTTAAACGATTTTTTATAATGGATATTTTGACTTGAGTCACCACTCTCACCCTCCATAGCGTGTGAGTGGCGACTTGACAGTCAAAATATAACTGATGTGGTCTGTATCCAGCAGATATCTTTTGCGTGATGAAATAATTACTATCCCTGTTTCATGAATTCAAGTCTATTTTTAAATTCGTTTATGGTCTGTATCTAAGCTTCTACCATTCTGTTACTAAAAAATGCTTGTGTGGATTAATGCACGACGCATTTTTTGTCATCTTTAGATGATGTCCTCTGAAGTGTGTGCTATGGAAATGTTGAAGTAATTGTTAGTATATTTTTTGTAATGTCCATGCAGTATTTTATATACTTCTATCAAGTCACCACGTTCTCACCTAAAGTGATGAGTTTCAACCTTTCATCGTAAATTTTATTCTTAAGCGTTTACGAAAATTTCGTAAACCTTTGTTGATTTTTTGCCAACATTTCTAAATCTTTTTTCAAATAAGGACTCCAATTTGACAGGCGTACTGCAAAATAGGCATCGCATAAGTTTTATGAAAGAACCATCTTTGGCTTCAAATGACAAAATGCTTTCCTGTTAAAGTATATGAAACTGCTGGCCATTTTAATTTGTTCTTATAATTTTGTTAAAACCATATCTGCGAAGATTACACTGGGGCATTCCCAATTTTTTTGTTTTATCAGGTTTTTGAACGGTTTCTCACTAATTTGACTTCATTGATTTCATTTTTTACACAGCAGCTATAGTTTTTGAAATACAGGTGCTCCCCTTATTTCGCAGTACTTAATTCACATTTTGTTCCGATCATAGAAATAATCTAATCTTTTTAATTTATCGATTTGTCCAGCTTATTAAGAAAATGTGCCAATAATTTTTCTAACATTTGTGGCGAACATATGTTTGAAGAATCTCGAGTAAGTGTCTCTTAACTTTGTGAAACTGGCTTACTTGGACTTCTTGGAGTAGCTATTAGAAGTTAACAGTAAGCCCTGAATTCCAAATTTTGTATGTGGAAGACAGTAGCGGCGTTAGGGTACGGCGCGGTTGGGCGACCGCCCAGGGGCGCCGGCAAAAAGGGGCGGCGCAGGGCGCGGCGCCCCTTTTTCGTCCGGCGCTTCTTTCTGATTCTGTATAATGAGGAAGTATTTTAAAAAAAACGAAAGCACTACAAAAATACCTAGATGGCGACTCTAGCAAAAGTTGATTTTTGCAGGAAACGAATGGAACAAAGATAGTTATTTCCGTTCATTTTAACTAATATATTAAAAAACTGAAATTTGAAAAGTTCGAAACTTAGATATCAATACAAATACGAAAAAGTACAAATAGAATATGAGTTGTTAATTGAGTTTTGAAAACTAATTTACTTTTAAACATGAAAGAAAACTGGAAGGGTTGTCATGGAGAAATCAAGAACATACCGTAAGAATAAGAATAAGAATAATTTATTTGCAAGAATATGGTATAAAGTAAGATCTTAGTTTTATTACAAGCACGGAACACATTCACCCCGTTTGGGCATGCAAATTATAAAATTGTCAGTAGCCTATAGTAACTAAATTGAATTTACAATAAGAATCTCATAATCAAATTAAAGAAGAAAAAAAAAATAAACAATTAATTACCAAAATTATGAATATCCATAACCATATTAGCTAACGTCTTAAATATACATTTTATGCACACGTCATCACAACTAAAATTGTCATTGTCACATCTAGAGAATACAAATATATAATTATATGTCAAGTTTTATAGTCAAAAAACTCACTTAAGCTATAGAAACAGTTCTCGATTAACCATTTTTTAAGTTTTTGTTTAAATTGGTTAGTTTTGACCATTTTAATATCATTTGGCACTTTATTATACACTCTTACAGCCATCGAATGACTATTTCTGGAGCCCAGGGCTGTCCGCATTGCTGGGAGTATGAGTTTATCAGGACGTCTACAACTGTATGGCCGAGGTACATCATACAAACGGGGAAACAGTTCTGGGTGACTCCTGACAAAGACACATATTTCAAATATATATAAACATGTTACAGTCAAAACATTAAGCGCCTTAAATAAAGGCCTACATGAGACCAAAACGTCTACATCAAATATGGCACGGATGCATGCCTTTTGAGCAATGAAGACTCTACTTGTGTGGCACGAGTTACCCCATAAAACTATGCCATATCTCAAAATTGAGCAAACCTGTCCATGGTAGGCCTGAAGGGCGATTTGTTTGCTTGTGGTTTTCCCCAATTTCCACAGCGCAAATACATGTGAATTAATTCTTTTGCATAATTTATCTATGTGTTTCTCCCATGTGCACTTATTATCAAGTGTTATCCCAAGAAACGTGACTTCCTCAGTCTCCTTAATATGCTGACCATCGTACAATATTTCCATGTTTTTTTTCTTTCCATTCTTATTAATAAATTGAATTGCTTTCGTTTTTTCAACATTGACAGCTAGGTTATTATGTTGTAGCCAATTTATAATAAGTTCCACCGTTGTGTTTAGTTCTTGGTTATATACATCTAACTGAAGACATGGAACAACCACCGACACATCATCGGCAAACAAAACACATGAATAATTTGTAATGTCTGGGAGGTCATTGATGTAGATTAAAAAAAGTAATGGTCCCAGAATACTTCCCTGAGGCACACCGGAACCATTTATTTTAACATCTGACTGAAAGGTTCTTAACGTTCTATATTTATCAATATTGGAGACCTCAACATATTGTCTCCTGTTTTCAAGATAGGACTTAAGCCAATTTAACGCGATTCCCCTTATACCATACCTTTCGCTTTTTAGGAGAAGCAAATCATGAGAAACAAAATCAAAGGCTTTGCTCATGTCAAAAAATACAGCTGTTATTGGGATTCGTTTATCAATATGTCCAACCACTTGATCTATGACTGAAAAAGCAGCTAAAGTAGTAGATTTGCCTTTTTGAAAACCGTTTTGTTCGCATTTGACAAGATTGTGTTTCTCTATAAAACATGTCAATCTGTTTAACATCGCTTTCTCTATGATCTTTGCCCAGATTGATATCAAAGATATAGGTCTGTAATTGTTAGGATCATTTTTTTCACCTTTCTTAAATAATGGTTTAACTATGGTAGTTTTTAAGGCTTCTGGAAATATGCCAGATGCAAATGACAAATTTATCACATAACACAATACTTCAGCTATATCGTCTTTCGCGAGTTTAATGATTTCGGTTTTTATGCCATCATAACCAGTTGCGTTTGTCATATTTAATGAATTAATAATTTTTTTGATTTCATAAATGTCAATAGGATGCAAAAATATACTTGAATTGTTGAAACTAATATTATTAAAAATTGATTTATTAATGTCAAAATTGTTTGCGTCTGTCGATTTTATGAAGTAATTATTAAAGTAATTTGCTATGTCACAAGGATTCCTTATTTCTGTGGTCATGGTCTTTAATACCTGTATAAAATGATGTGTATTCGTTTGCCCCATTTTATCGTTAATTATATCCCACGAAGCTTTCATCTTATTTGTAGAATTATTTATGTATTCAGTATTGGTTATTTTTTGTGAGTTTGAAATACATTTTTTAAGTAACTTATTATAATTATTATATTTAGTTTTGTTCTCACATGTCGAATATTTATAGTATAGAAAACGTAGATGTCTTTTACGCACAGTAGATTTTTTTAAACCAACAGTAAACCACGATGGCTTTTTGTATTTTGCTGTACGTTTTATTTTTTTTATTGGAAAGCAGAGATCATAAAAAAGCTTAAAATCTTTATGAAACTTTTCAAAGGCAATATTTAAATTTGTTTCACTTAAAACTTCAGACCATGACAAAGCTCTAATACAAGACAGAAATTTATTCACGTGGTCTCTGCTATAATCTTTTTTTAATTCAAACCAGACTTCTGGAAGTTTCTCAACCTTGTCAACTATAAAAGTTAACGACTGGGCTGTGTTGTGATCTGATAATCCGACATGATGTAATCGTACCTTAGCATCGGGTATATTGCTCATAATGTGATCTATACACGCATTTTTTCGTGTTGGCTCAGAAATGTGAAGCTTTAATTTATAGTTTGAGGCAATTCTTTTTAATTCATTGGATTGATTAGTGGATTTTAATGTGTCAATATTAAAATCTCCGAGAATAATAACTTTGTGTTTGGTTTTATATCTCAGTTTTTTCAATAATAACTCCAATTTATTTAAAAAGTATTCAGGTTTTGAGTCAGGTATACGATATAAACAAATTATTATACATTTATGAGAAACTAGTTCAATCCCACAGCATTCAAAATTATAGTCAATAGCTATTTCGTGCAGGAAACTTAGTTCTTTAACTTCCAAACATTTCTTACAAAGTATACTGACTCCTCCTCTTTTTTTATTATTTCGAGAATAGTAAGCAACTAATTTGTATGTTGGAATGTTTATGTTGCATTCGCTTCCAGATTTAATAAAAGTTTCAGAAAAACACAATACATCAATGTTAATATTCGTATTATTTAATTCATCAAGAGTCAATTCCAGTAATTCTCTTTTGCTTAATAATCCCGCAATGTTTTGATGGAAAACGGTTAAGGTATGAACTTTATGCACGAAAAAGATTATCCTTGTTTTGGACAGTTTTGGTGTCTGCAGACCCTTGCAACAATGGAAAGTAATCGTAAATATACCTCTGAACCATCCTCGCCGAGGGATCACCCAACCCGTTCGCCCTTAATTTTATATTTGATTTGCGTAATTGTTCTCTAGTATAATTATAAATAGTCCTGTTAAATTTTGTGAGTAAATAATGATTTTCATAGTCAATCGTGTCTATGAGAGTGCTTAACCTGTTACAAATTGTTTGCATTATGTTAATATTTGGACGATAATTTATATTTCCTTTTAACTTTAGAAAGTGGCAATTTTCAAAACAATCACAAATCATTTTTATGTTATAGTTTAACATTCTCTCATTTAAATAACTGTTATTCAAAATTTCAATGACAATTACATTATAATTTTTTAGCATTTTTAAAATAGAATATAATTCTGATGTGGTTCTTAGAAAGTTTTTATCATTTTCTCCAACACATAGTATAATCTTAGAGTCATTATTTAAGTTTTTATAATTGATTGATTGGAGAATTTTGTCAGTTGACGCAAATGGTTTCGTCATGGCGCTAATTTCATAGTCTTCGTGCTTTGTGTCTCTGCGAGATTTTATTAGTGCTGTCGCTAGACCGACGCATTGCTGTGATCCATAAATCAGGAGTTTCTTCTTAGTAGTGAAATTTTTTATATTGATGTTGACCTCCTTTCCGAATGTCTCGGCATTCGACTCATTTTTAATTTCCTCACATGTACTTTTATTGAAGGTTTTCTTACTGTCTTCCATTGAAATTTCATACGATTTGTTTTGACTTTCATTGAAGGAGTCCGTTGTGTTCCGCTTTTTCTTATTTGTGGTCCCAAAGCAAATGTCAGTTAATGTTTTTATTTTCTTGTCCTTTTCCTGTATTTGATTTTTCAATTTATTGTTTGTTAAATTCAGGTTTTCTATTTCTAAGTGAGCACTTTCCAACTTTATATTAAGATCTTTTATAAGGTCTTTTAATGTATTCATTTCTTCGTCATAACCGGTTGATAAGTCTGGTAAACTTGTCGCATTCATTTGAGAGTGTATAGACAAAAATGAATTATCCTGATCAAACTGTAAACTTTGATTGGATCGAGATGTAGTATTTCCCGGGAAACATTTTAGTTTCCTTTTAGTTATGTTGTTGTCAAATGAGATATTCAAATCATTACTCTTTTTAGTTTGAATTCTTTGCTGCGATACAGGTGTACTTGTTTTACTTTTCTGGTTATCGGTCATTTTCTTTCCTATACAACTATCGCATTTCCATTTTTGTTTATTTTCAGTTGTCATTAAATGAAATCGCTTTTCGGAAATATTGCCGCAATTTAAATCAAAAATTCTCTTACAAATGCAGCATATTATACATTCTTTTTTAGTGGTTTTTTTACAAACATTACACCTCTTATTTGACATTTTACTTGCTTTCGCCTTCAACTGTGTTGACATTTCGTACTATATTCTGTTTGATGTAATGAGAAAAATAAATA